TGTGTGACGTCAGTAGATGAAAATATTTACCGATACGCCTTAAAAAGGATAATTTGAATCTTATTGAATTTTTTTTTTCTCTCTTTTTTTGATCAATAGTATTCTTTGCTTGCAGATAGCTATCAACACAAATTACAGTCAATTTTTTCTTCTATCTTTTAGAATCAAAAGGTTTGGTTGTTTCAATAAACTCTGACTTTTCTGTAAAACCAAAAGTTGTGCTGTTCAATGGACAGTGTATAAATCAAAACTGTAGAAAGGCACAGTTTTGTATGAAATCAAAGTTTCAGTAAAATATCTGTTTTCCGGTAGGTTCTACTGAAAATAGTTTTGCTGGCAGTTGTCACCTGGTTTGCCATCAAACAACTTAAGTTTACAGTTTTGATATGTGATAAAGTGTCCCCCCCCCCAAAAAAAAAAAAAAATTATGTTTACTTTGTTTGAAAAGATAAACTACGAAAGTTGATCGGTAAAATAACAAACTGGTTGTAATGTTAGGAGCAGTCTATATATAGCAATTCAAACTAGCAATGAACATTTACGACAACAGTTTAAAAAACAAAAAAAAAAAAAGTGAAAAAATGTGAAAAAAAAAACATTTTTTCTTCATATACCGCTATGACTATTTAAGTACGTATATTTGAGAGAAATCTGTCGACATCATTACTGCACTGGCGGAAAACCTCTGACATGAATGTGAAATTTTAATGAGCAAACTGGTGAAAAAGCTGGATTTGAAATGCGCACAGCAAGGAAATCCAAAGTCCCCATCGATAGTATTGAACAGCCTATTGAAATCCTCTAACAAATAAACATGATTGATCAATGAGTGCGTGATTATTTGCCCATTTTTTCATATGTTTGAGGTAGCGAAGTGTTTTCGATTAGTCCGATATGATAGTGGAAGGAATATGAAGAAGGGAAAGAGGAAGGGAACGGGAAGAAAACGTCACTGGATTATTGGTGAAAACGTTGTTGTCACCCAACGTCTATCACACTACTGCACTCTCCTATTGAACCCTCCCTACCTGTCTCTTTCTTGGTCCGTCTCTCATTCTCACACTACGTCTCTTCCTTCCCCTCTCAACGATTGCAGTTGTAAAGTTACAATCAATCAACCGACACAGCATACGCGCTCTTCCAATGGTATTTGATTTCAGTACCCAAAATGGCTGTTACAAGCTGTCCTTTTATCAAGCTATCCTGAAAATGTGATTCCGTGCTTATTTGTTTAGAGGAATATGTAATATTTCTAACACTTGGCATTGATGACTACCACCAGAAATCTACAAGTTATCTTCTCAGCATCTGTTACAAATGCATTTCGAAGAACTCTGTAACGCATCGAATTGCATACAATCAGCAAAAATAGCTTCTAATATTGTTGTCGTCGGTTTGACTGCTAAATGATAAGATATTTGTAATTTTCTTTTGCTTAACTTTTTTTTTTAAAGAGCTTTTTGAGGTGTCCGCTCGGTCGTATATCAATCTGCACTGAAGCAAGCAAGTAGGAAATCTGTTTGCAGTTCAAGGCTTATTTGGCCATCACAGTCATTGATTTGAGGTATTAAATACAGTTTCTACAAGCACGACTGAAAAACTTATGCCAATAATCTTAACGGTATGATGGGTATCTGATGAAATTACTCTAGTAGTAGAATGTTTCTTTTTTATTTTCATATTTCTAAAACGTGATTTTGTTATTACAGAAATTTTCAAGGGCTGTTAAAACTGTTCTCTTTT